CAAAAGATTGTGAAAGTAAATAGAATTTGATACATCTTTACAAATGCTCAGTTCTACCTGTATGCGGCATTGGGGAACACGTTCTCATCTCCTACAACTTCCCAATTCATGCCCGTGCTCGGTCGTAATTGAGCTCGCGTACTTATGGAAGCAATCCATACAAATGAGTTCACCGCTTGAAAACATTTGGTGTATCATTGCTATCCAGTTTATCTTCGGTCCAAATATCGTCCAGCACGTTTCTAGGCTGGATATAAAAGCTCATCAATGTAGTATATAGTTCTCTCATCCAAGTTCCAGTCAACTACTGTTCCTCAACGACATATCCCCATTCATGATCAACCCGTCCGTAGATAATGTCTTCCAGCCAAGCCTTGATAGCCGACGAGTATTTCGCATGAGGAATTTTATGACCATTATCAGTAACAGTCATCGGGAGGTTAATATCCCGGTCATTGTAGTGAATCAGTGACACTGGGGTAACGAACATCTAAATCAAGACCAGTCAGCAAAGTATTCATGACACCAATGCGTACCACCAATAGACCAAGGGCGAACTTACCGCGGTACCGGTGACGAAAGCCTCAACAAGTCTTCCCTCGGCTTGTGCCTCCACAATCTCGTCCATGCTGAATGGCCTTTCGACAACCTCCAAGGGATCCAGGCTCGTGTATTTCTCTGAAGCTTCCTTCGTCAAGCGCTCTCTCGCGATCTCCAGCGCACTCCTCCTCGTGATACCGTCCAGGATGACTCCCGTGTCAAGTGAGCTGGTCACAAGTTCAATGCCCTGGCCATCCTTCTTCTTCCAAACGACAAAGAAGTTGCTGGCTCCAGCCTCCGTGACCAACCTATCTTCTCCAAAAAGCCACAGCGTCTGCGAGCACCCCTTAGCCTTCGCGGCAGCGTGCAACACCATCGAGGGTCCGTAGCTCGCGCCCACCTTCGCAGATCCGAAGCCACCGGGCCACGCACGGATATGCTCCGGGCTGCTCGCGAGAAGCTTAATTCCCGGGTGCGGCAGACCCGATGCCTGTGGGAACAGAACTGCAAAGAGGAACAACAGGGCTTCGGGCGGCTGGTTGATGCCAAGCGCGGAACCGCTGCCGATCATGGCGGGGCGGAGGTAGATATTTGAACCCTGGTCGGGGAGCCAGCGGCGGCATTCGATGGAGATGTACGCGGTGATGATACCGAGGAGGCCCTGGGGATCAAAGGAGGGGAGACCGACTCGTGCGTTGGACTTGACCATGCGGGCGCAGTTAAGTTGGGGCCGGAAGAGGCGGAGTTTGTTGTCGTAGCCGCGGTAGGCTTTCATGCCCTCCTGTACCCTCAATCATTAGAATTTGAAGTCTTCTCAAAGCATGGCGCAAGTTCAGTCACAAGGTTGACTTACGAAAGACTCTGTCGCGTAGTGCAAAACGCTGGCCGTCGGCTCAAGCGCTATCTTGCCATACGGGCTCATGACTGGTGTCCCCCAACCTGTCTCCATCGACCAAGGCACTTGAACCATATGCGCTGCTGCGCAGTTCTGACCGAGACGAACGGGATCATCGACGGCGGGGACGGGACGTTGATCTGCTTCGGGGACGAGAGTCTTCATCATTGCTGAGGCATCGAGTTCTCCCCATTGTTGCTTCTGGGTAATTTCGTTCGCTGCCGGTACGGCTGCGCCAGGAGTTGTGGTCGTCGCGCTGGGGCTCATGATGATGGATATGTCAAAATTTTGGAAAATTGACCGACAGAACTCGATGTGACGGTGGGCATAGGTGATGTTAAAGATGTGCTGGCGATGATGATAAAGCAAGCTTCAGCAACACGATATGCGAAAGATCAGTCGCCTCGGAAGTAAGTCCGAAAGTAGAAAGCTCATGTCAGAGGCGGAACATTCGCAATTGAAAGCGCAAGCGTCCAAAATTTCGTGATTGGCATGATCCCGAGGCCATCGTGGGCTACCCACCGGGATGAATTTACCCAAACAGGCAAAGGAGAACGAGGGCGCTAACAAAATCCACAACGAATGGGCCGTCACCGGACGTAGCACGACAAGTGGAAATAGTGGAGTCTGCCTCGGCCGGCGCCGGGTCCTTTCGGTGTCGAATTTTGCAGAAAAATCGGTCATCGACGGGGTTGCCGAGCGAATTTGACCCATCTCTCCATCTCATTACGCTATCGCAAGCTATCAGCGAACCCACTCTGCCAGAATGTGTCAAAATTGCCTCTTATGGTATTTCTACAAAGTCGATGCTCCACCCCCGCTTACACCTCGAATACACCTCGACCGAGAACCGATCGGGGTCCCTTTCCTCGTCGTCTTGAGGAGTGGCGTCATCCTCTAGATCAACCATGCGCACTTTGATGATTTCCCAATTGTGTCGTGAGCCGCGGCGAGTGTACTCTTCGTCCACGTAGCGCAGCACCCGGTGGGCGTGGCGGACATTCCAGATACCCTCCCGATCCCTCGGAAACCCGGCGATCCAGTCCTTGATCCATGTCCTCAGGTCTAAGTCTTCTGCCATGTAATACGCATTCATCATTGCCGGAAGCATGCCATGCCCGTACGCGTTGACCGCGGCGCAGGATGCGTAAGGGACACCCGCTGCTAACCTGCATACGAGAAGGATGATCTTCTTCGCGTTGGGCGGCAGTTCTCGTCCTGCACCCGGGAGGTACCGTGTCTCTAGCCGTAGTAGAGAGATCAAGTAGTGCATGAACGTCGTCGCTGCTTTGACGGGCTCTCGCGCGCGAGGCATACTGAGAGGCTTAATCGCAATGCCAGGGCCTTCGGCGGTCTCATCGAAAGGATTTGCTGTGTGCTCGTGCAGGGCCGGCACATCATAGTCGTCCAATGTGTTCCTCCACGCCTTCAATTCTTGGATTAGATCTTCCGCCTGGCCACGCCAGTGTAGGTCATGCTGTGGGTTACTCCTCCACTCTTCCTCAAGTTGGATCACTCGGGGCAAGATGTACAACAACCTGTCTGCTGACTGGGGCGAATTGACAAGCGACGGCTTCAGTGAGTCTGAGACGTCTGGTGATGCAATGCTGTATCTGACGGAATAGGCTCGGTCGAAAATATCCAGGAGAGCGGCGATGCGGGAGAAGGACCGGATGAGAGACTCCCCCACGGGTGATTCTCGTACGCGGTTGAGATGTTGCGAAAGGAATGTGACTGCGGCTCTGCTGCGAATGTACCAAAGTTTCATCTGCCCCCGTTGTAGCTCGAAGTTTGCGAGTAACAGGACAGTAGCTAGCCATGATATGGCGTTATCTTGGTTCGATGGACATCCTGTGGCGATGCCTTCGTCATCCAGCTGCGCCATGCGCACAGTGCCGAGCGCAGCAACGAAGTGATCCAGCGCTTGCAATGCAGCTTTACTAGCAAGAGTCTCTGAAGGTCTGGACTGAGAAGTATCGAGGGCCGACAAAGCCAGCGCAGCATGGAAGAAGGCGCTGTCGAGTTGATCCTCTTGTAGGATATCGCCGAGGGACAGGATTGACAAGATGCCGTAAGGTGAGCTGTCTCTGAGGTGGTGGTAGTAGATCATGTCTTCTGGAAACTTGCTGCTCTCAATAATTCCAGGTAATATCGTCGGCACTGAAGTCAGCTGCCGATTTGACTCGTCTAGATGCGGGTCCCAGACTCTGGGAGAGTCCTGCGGCTGATATATCGGAGTGCAACTTGGAAGGTGCTCATTTCCATAAAATACTTGTGATGTCTCATTGCCAGCAGCATATATCGAAGAGTCGACGTTGACTGATGTTGCGGACGCTGAGTTGACAACATGGTGGGACAGTGAGCTGTCGCTGATCTCTGCACCGTCGTGACCACCGGTCTCACGCGGGATTCCCTCCGAGATCAGTGCCAGAGATGTTGCGGCTTCATAGAGCGATTGCTCTTGTGAGCCTGCGAGAAAGTCTTGGTTGTCGTCAACAGAGAAGAATGTATCATCATGAACATTGTCGAGATTGATGACGGGTTGTGATGATTGTGGTGCTGGTGCTGGTGGCGGGTCACTTCGCGACGGCGCAGGTGATGAGGGGCTCTGGCGATTCGCACTCGCGGCCTTCTTGGCTTCGCGTTTCTTCCTCTGCTTTCGCTCCCACAGATCTGTTTGGTCCTTGAACTTAATCGGAGTAACGTAACCACCGCACTCAAGATTCAGACGTGTGCACTACAGGCAAATGGTCTGTCAGCAAACGGGCTAGTATTGCCGCGACAAGTGGAGGGCGTACGTTATTACAGCTTGGCTTCTTCTCGTCGCACTTCAACCTGCGGGCGCGACAGGTAACACAGCCGGTGCGGTCTCTCGAAGTAACATTACGTCTGCGTATGACACGTTCAGACATAGCAACACGAAATATCTTTCGCGTCCGGTCTCAGCCTAGGTCTGGTCGGCGGTCAACTTGGAAATCGTTTGCGATAAGGAGAGTTGGAGATTGTTGAAACAGGAGAAATCGAACGAGGAGGATAGGGACCGCCAAATGTTGCCTGTTTTAGCGTGCTCCATCCCGGCAGCGGGGTCAGTCCGGGGGTCTCCCCGCTAAATTCCAACGTCATGTGCCCCCTGCGGCAGTGTAGCGATGAGAATCTAGGCCCGGCCGCCTGTCGGCTGGCTCTTCTCGGCGATAGCCAACAACACCATCGTCTCATCAATTGATGCAGGCTATGGGTTGCAACAAGAACCTCGGATATTTAGAATCAAACATTCAATATGGAGATCTGATACTTTATTCTATCAAATCACAGGGAAACATGGCTGATTTGACGCTTAGTCCATTCTCTCCGCACTACAGCAACCGTCATGTGCTCTTTGCAGAAGGAACCAGATTAACAATCAGCTCTTGGAAAGCATGAATGCTCAGAATTGAAATATCGCCGGTGGTAACTAAGTATTTACAAGAGAATAGAAGGAAAACAGCCGCCCCGTGGCCATGCAAAAAACAATGGGAACCCTCAGAGTATCAAACTCACGTCTGGCAGCAACGCTACGGCAACGTCTTTAGTAGTTATCGGTGGCTTTGGTAACCTTTCCAGATGCAAGAGCCACATCTTTGACGATAACCTCATCGCCGTTGATGCTAGTGACACGGACCCAGGCCGTAGCGCTGGGGAGAGTGCCAGTAAGCTCCCACATGTTGGGGTTGTGGAGCGTAGCAGCCTTCCAAGTCGCACCCTCGTCGCTGCTAACCTCGACCTTCTTGTTTCTGAGTGTAGCGTTCTCGATCGTGGCCGCGAACCAGTACTGAGAGGCGCCCTTGTGCATGTGAACCTGGAGAGGAGAAGACTCGGGGAGAGGGCAGGCGATCCACTCCCACTCGATGCCGTCAACAGCGCCGCCAGAGTATCCGTTGGTCAACTTGGACCAGGTATCGGGGGTCATGTCCAGGTGGGTCGCGTTACCGCCGGTTCGGTTGGTGACCTTGTCTTGTCAGTCCATAGGAAGAAAACTGCGCGTAAGGGGATGTTTCGTTTCGGTTGGACTTACCATTATCTTGAGGGTCTTGCCTTTGTAAGTCACCGAGATGCAGCCACCGCAGTTGGCACCGTTGTTCCAGATGTCGTCCGACACGCAAGTTGATCCATCGAGGCCGGCGGGCAGCTCGTAGCCCACGAAGGAGCAGGCTCCATTCTGCCAGCAGTTTTCCTCGGCGCAGCCGTCAGACAGGCCATAGCGAGTGCCCAGGCCGATGAAAGTCTCACACGAAGCCGTCTGAACAGCAGTCGCCGCAGTAGAAGCGGTGGTAGAAACAGCCCCGGACTTCGCTTCTTGCGCGGTGATAGGGTTGCCCGGAGAAGTCTTGGCCTCGGCATCCTTGACCTGAGAAGATTGGATGGTGGGCTGGACGAGAGTGGCCAGGGTCGTTGTGGGAAGAACAGTGGAAGTCATGGGAGGCAAGCTGAAAGCCTGAAACCAAAAGCGGTCGAGTTATGGGCATGCTTGGTATGGTGATGGTGAGTCTTGACGCTGTGTGCCTTGCAGGCCTTGGCCTCCTTTCCCTCCGCAACAGCGGAAAGAGTTGCCAGAAGGGCAATGGCAAAGTGGGAGATTTGGCCAGCAATCATAGTGAAGGTGATTTTTAGCGGTTGTGAATCCCGCTTAGGATGGTGACAGGACGAATGCAGCAGTGCAACGGCGAAAGAGCAAATGAACGAATGAACGAAAGCGCAGGCCGAAAGAATGAACGAAACCAGGTATCTACCAGCTGGACGTGCTGCTGCCAAGAAAGATGTTTAGAGTTCAGGGCAACGAAGCTCTTTTAATGATTAGTACCTCCTTTTTATTTGAATTCCACTTCGTACATGTCATTCGACGCCTTCCGACTTAACCGTTTGAATTTCAGTTAAAATTATGCACCCTTCAAAGATATCACCAACAACAGCGCCAACATCAGAAACATCCCACGCGTCGTTGCCTGGATTTAAGAAGGTGGCCCCATAGGGCGGTCCTTTCAATCTGTCTAAGTAAGGCTAGAACGTTTTGTTGGCCGATCATCCGGTGGTCCATACTAAATAGTGAGGTTTGCGAAGCGCTCGCAATAGCCACTAACACGATGCGGATGATAGTGTCGGCAGATTAGACGCCAACTAGCGCGTACGAATGATCAGTCTGAAAGATTGCAATAAGCTTGTAAATTGAAACGACACACGAACAAGCTTCGACCGAAGCCTCTAGCGAGAGTGAACTCACAGTTCATCCCCTGAACTTGTCAAGATTCATCCTCCCCGTCATCAAAGTCCAAACCCAAAGCGCATCCACAATCAAAATGTCAACAAAGCTGAACACAAGACTTCCAGCAAAGACAAGACTGTGGTAAGTCCAAGCCCGGTCAGCCGAGAGGTTCGCTGTTTGACACACAATCGCCCAGGGTAAAACATAGAGGAAGTTGCTGGCCAGGCTCTGCCAGAGGTACCACCGAGGACGCGTTGGAAGCAAGACCGTTGCCAACATCGTAGACATAGCATAGAAGATGTAGCACCAGTCGATCGTCCGCCACATCGTCGCCGTCACGTCCGCAACCTCGTCTGAGCCGGTGAGGTATCTGGCGAAGGGGCGGGCTCCGAAATATGTCAGGAAGAGGCACATTGGGACTTCGATTATGACTGCAATAATATGAGAGAGAAGAGCTGGACGGGCGATGGCGAAAACATTCGTCTTCTTTGCCTTTGGTTCGAGGTTTTCGATGCCTATGGCTCGTCTCCAAGATCCCCATGCATGGCCGACAAAGGCCAGAGAGGTTTGCTCAAGTGCTTGGACCGGTGCCATAATGAGACCCCATCTGATGGTGTTGAAGACGCCCCAGGCCGTCGCGTATGTGCTTCCCATTGATACAATGTTGCTGACAAGCCAGAGGTACAACGCGTTTCTAATTGCTGATTCAATGAAAGTTAGGACACCAGGACGCAAGAGGATAATAAGTGCCTTGAGGCTTGGTCGAGTGGTCTCCAATTCAGGCAGCTCTTGTGTCCTATTTCTGCGCAAACGCATGGTGTTCCTCCAGAGAAAATAGGCCAGGCCGATCAGAGCTGACGCGAGGTTACACGCTAACTGAATGTCAGCTTGCATGTTCACCGTAGGCTTATGGGATCCGACATGGACTTTGGAGATAATTAAAAGATCCAAGACAATGTTGACCGCGAATTTGACTGAGCTTATTATAGGGCACATCAGGTCGGTCGAGCGCTCTCATGGCTGAGGAAACTGCAGTCTCGATCGCGCTGCTGAAGGCGCTGAAAGCTCCGATGCGCACATAGGTGATGCTAACGTCGCGGACTTCGACAGGTACAAAGCCCGTCGCAAAAGTGCTTGCGCCGGCCACGAAGGCGACGCTCATGATGAAGCCCAGGACGGACTGGAAGATGATGAGTGTGTGCGTGAGCTGCAACCGCTGTGCGAGGGTTCGAGACGCTTTATCGCCGATTACAACCCATGCTGCCCGCGGCAGCCCTTCGTTGACAACCTCGGCAACGACGCCGATGTACGTGTATGCGTCTGTGGTGACTACGAGCGAAGAGTCGATGTTGGCGACCCATAGTTTGGACAGGGTGGCGTAGAGAGCTGGAAGTATGAAGGAGACGATATTGAAGAGTAGGGCACCAGTGTAGGTAGCGCGATTAAAGCTCCTCGGGGAGGGCTCGTCTGAAGCTGTCTCGCGTCCATCGTGATCGTGATCGTGATCGTGTGCAATAGGAGATGCTGGGCGCGCGGTCTCTTCGATATCGAATTTTGGAAGCATGGTGTAACCTGCTTGTAAATTCTTGACAATTCAAGATGATAAAAGCGCGTTGACTGCGCGATTAAGAGCTGGAAGTTTCATTATATCATGTTTGTCATTCTTTGCTGTTGGGAGTCTTGCGATTAATTATCGATGCATTGAGCGGTTGGGTCAGATGTGCATTCTTGCAGCTGAAAGGAACTACTGCAGGAGGCCGACGACCCTAAATATCAGTGAGTCTTAGTCTGGGTCAGTTGATCTGCATTGGCTGGGCGGTAGTCCTGATAAACTTTCTCTCAAGAATTGGGGGATTCGTCCGCAATGGTGTGAGGGGTTTGCAGGCGCATGAACGACTGAAGTCATAGCCACCCAATGTAGTACCAGCCGAAGGATGAAGGTCAGCACTACTCTAGTTGTAAGGCAGTTAAGATAATGACTTATGGCGAGGAAGGCCATCCAAAACCATCAGCTCTCCTGCTCAAAATTGTATTTAATTGACGAATACTAGATATATAGCTGAACTTCCTATGATAGAACGGAACTATTCCATATGACGAGTGTGATAACATTAGACAAGGACAAGTATTCTCATTTGGTGAACATGGTGCCCAAGGGTCAGCGGTGATAAGAATACTAAATTGCCGAGTTATAGAAATGGCATACACCCACTCAAACCGTCCCATCTGTCTCCATAGCACACTGCAACTGCAATAGAACATTCTTTCTAAGACTTGATCATAGTTTTCGATACTCATGGAGGGATTATTTCGAGATGAAAGTGTCAACAAATTGTTCAGACGGCAAACCATAGGCTGATTCACGCCAGGGAAGAGAGGCTTAAATGCGCAGGCAGATCGCTTTAAGTTGATATGTAGAAATGCAAGAACACTTCATCTATTGAACCTCATATCTTCCAGAGCTGAACAACCTTCGGTCTTCAGCTCCTCTCCCCGAGCCACCGGTCATCTAGAAGTATCCCATCTTCGTAGTGATCATGATCGCATTCTCGCCCTTGGGGAAGGAAACGGAGTTGCAGGTCTCGCCGACCTTGACCTTGTACGAGTAGATCACGGCCTTGCTCTCGTTGTCTGTGATGATGAACTCGGCGTTCTGGTCGGCCTTGTTGCTGCAGTCGACCTGGACGTTTGTCAAGTCCAGCGACTTGATGGTGAGCTTGGCGCCCGTGTAGAACTCGATGTCCATGGGCGTGGCGGTCGCGGGCCAGGAGTAGATGCTGCTTCCAGCCATCGGGGTCGCTCTCGACTCGATGGCGGCAGCGCCGTTACCCTCGGGGGTGGCCGGCAGGGCGGCAGCCAGGGAAAAGAGTCCGAATGCAGCAGCGAAACGCATTTTGATGAAAAAAGAGAGTAGTTGGTATTGAAAGAAAGTTGAGTTGACTTGAAGAAACGCTGAGTGAATGACTGATGCGGGATGAGGGTCAAAAGGTATTGAGCAAGAGAAGCGACGGGTTGTTGGCTTTAATACAAAATGATTCTTCACCCAACAAGAGAACACCAACTAGACTTTAGAGTTCTCATAATACATCTCAGCCTTATTGCGCAGCGCCGTTACAGAGGTCTACTGACGTGCGATAATATAATTAACGTTTCAGACGTTAAGGCAGGGCTGTGCCGAACGGGGGATAGTGACTACACGTTCGGCGTTACCGAAGCTTTTGCTTTTTAGGTTTTGATACAGTTGGCCCCTGACCTGCTCGCATTCGCAACAGACGGGAGGCCTGGATGTCAAAGTAGAGTGCACGCAGCGCGCCGGCAGTTCACTTTCATTGAACTCTCAGTTGAAACCACTGCCATGTCCGTAGTCTTGGTAGACAACGACGTCATTTACCTTACAGAGGAGCGTACTGAGCATGATTACCGGTCGCACCGGCGATAAAGCGATTTTACCACTACTACTGTAATGAGAACGGAGACTTTTGGGAAATGCTCCGGTTCCCCAAGAGGGTCCACATGGAGGCTTCACATATCAATAAAGATCAAACCTTTGACAGCAATGATAGTTGTATCTTCAGCCCTTTTTGTGTTCTTATTGTGATCGACCCAGTGGCTTGGTTTATACTTTCTCCCGACTCAAGGCCAATCAACTCAGACGACGCCAAGTAAGGCCGCTCGCGGATTACTCCATAACTGGGGCACTTCACATTTCCCCTGAATAATGATCTATATATACGCCTAACTCTAAATCTACGTAGTGGTAACTCCTAGTGCCGTTCATCTCAAGCGTATCAGTTGCCGCAAATAAAACAACATGATTTCATAATCAATCATGCACCATCATTCCAACTTCTATTCATGCTCTACGTCACCAAGACATGCCATCCGCAACGCAATGCCACTCATACCGGTACTTGAGGTGGTCAATAATAAGGCTCCCCATCCTCGCCCACCGCCGATAGTGTCCGGATCTGGCGGAAAGTCATTTGAACGCGTCCCAGGAGCACGTGCTTTTCGACACACGTGGAAACTGGGACAGCGGCGACGTGTCGAGAACAAAACACCAGAAACGACCATCAAAGCTTCTCTCTTTGACGACATGAGGGATCCGATCTAAATCAAGAGTTGGAGGGTTGCAATCAGGGGCACACGCGGCAACACAGGGGCTTCTTCAAGCGTCTGCGAAAAAAAGGTAAGAATGACTCGGGGAACCGGTTGTC